TTATTTGCGCTTGATTTAAAAACATTTAATCCAGTTATTGAATAGCGAATATAAACCCTTTCATTACTGATTTCAAATGAGCTTTTACGTTTGTGTGTTTGAATGTTTTTGTAATGATCTCCCATTGTGATGTTTCAGGTGGGAATGAAGAACAGTGACTATCTCTCAGTCTTCTGTCACATGCTCCTGCCAGTCGCATACGAGGTAAGAAAAAAATCCCATTTGGCTTACAGATACTGATGTGTGATATTAAATTAATGTTAATATATGAATCATTATGCATTCTTTATCACAGTTTAATCCCGAGTTGGTCCTGGTGTGTGCGGGCTTTGACTCGGCCATCGGCGACCCAGAGGTACAGAAAATTAAATAATGAAGCAGACTATGTGTGTGCACTCATGTCCTGTTGCGCTTCCATCTAATGAAATGTGACTGCTCAGTGTTTCCCACAGAATTTGATTCTATTTGTGGGGGCACCGCACCGCCCCCCCCCTCAAATAACAAAATACATGCGAGTTCATGGCTACTGTAGCAGACAACGTTCTTGTTGCTCTGTGTTGCGTTGTTAATGCGTGAGACACACCGGAGTTGAGGATCTGTGGGGTTTATTATCCCAAAAATATAATTTACAATTGACAATTTAGGCTTTTAGCAGACGCCTTATTCCAAGCGACTTACAGTGACCAATTACAGGGACATTCTCCCTGGAGTAACTGAGGGCTAAGTGCCTTACTCAAGGGCACACTAGTGGTGGTGTTCCAGGCGGGATTCGAACTAGCAACCTTCCGATCATCAACCCACCTCACTATCCATTAGACCACCAAAAAAAAGGTTAAATAAGAAAACAATAATATATTTTTTAAATTATTTTTATGAGATTACCCGCCACAAATGAATCAATGTATGGGAAACACTGCTGCTGTAAAACCCTGTGCCCTGTCTGACTAAACATATTTAGATTTTCTTTATTTTCAGGGTGAAATGTGTGCCAGCCCGGACATCTTTGCCCACCTCACGCACCTCCTGATGAACCTGGCAGGAGGGAAACTGTGTGCTGTGCTGGAGGTCAGGCCACACACACTGAATATCAACACATGCATATAAAACGATTTCACTTACTCACTAACACCTGCTTTCCTGGAGACGACATTAGTTGTTTTGTTGTTTGTCCCATTAACCAAGTCTCTAATCTATTAATACATGTATTACTTGTGCATATTTATGTTACTCTTCATAGCCAAGGGAAGGTCCTGCATATTGCTACCATCCTGTTGGAGGGGAAATGCTGTTGTGAAATGTTTTATTATGTGCTTTGTTCCAGGGAGGATACAACTTGACTTCCCTCCCCCAGTCTGTGTGTCAAACTGTTCAAACTTTACTCGGAGATCCTGCGCCTCGACCTGCAAACCTCGATGGTCCCTGTGAAAGGTGGGTCTGGTCGTCAGTTAGATGTTCCATGTGTGAGTGTGTTTTCTAACTGTATTGAATACATTTTTTTATTTTCTCAGTGCACTTGAGTCCCTCCACTGTAGCCGATCGGCTCACAGGAAGTACTGGTCCTGCCTCAAACACGCAGGTATAACATCCACATTATTCTTTTAGAGCTATTCCTTAAAAGGGGAACCTACTTTACCCACAATTCAACATGGCTTCTGACAGTTTGGTTCAGGTGCATATTGTTAGAAGGCTCAATCAGACATAACTTTGACTTTTCACCGCTTTAATAAGTATTTCTTTCGTCTTTCTCCAGCTGAGCCTCCCACCTCTGATGTCAGCACAAAGCGTCCTAAATTAGCGGAAGAAGAAGGAAAAGTGGAGAATGGAGAAGAGAAGAAAAGTGCAGAAGAAGAGGTGTGGCCCGAGCCCACGAGACGTGTCCCTGCTCCTGTCCGCACTGCTTCAGTCCTCCCTGATGGCGTGTCCTGCCCAGAGGGGTGTGAACTCTTCAGCTCATCAGATGACCCGGTCATAATCAGCAAACTCAGGTAACATTATATCATAATAATCAACTTTATTTCTTAGATATGGCACAAAATGAGTTTATGAGAGAAAGAGATGAATTCAAAACAATATTTATAATCATCATTTCATCTTAATTTGTATACAAACGTGTACTTTCTTCCACAATAAGGGAGAATTTCCCTAACGATGACAGCGATGCTCTCCCAGCCCTCTCCAGTCTTATTGCCCTCGTGGAGAAAATGGAGAGGAATGAGGTACAGTCCGGATACTATTTGTCTCTTTGAGTGCCAGGATGTGATCTGCTCCAAGCGCAACCCATTATATTGAATTACCTGCTTGCAGATCTGCAATGGCTTGGCTTTGGTCCACGACGTCACCATGGCGATGACGTGTGTTGTCCAGCATGCTGTAACTGCTCTCAGCAACCGGTAAAGCAATGTGCATCTAATCCTTTATGTACAGTGAATGTTTATTTAAAAATGACTTGAATAGCTTCATATTTAATGAATTTGTAACCACTTTCTCTTCATGCAGGGTGTTGGTTGTATGTGTTGGAGACGTGGTGGTCCCAACTCATTACAAAGAGGATGGGTAAATATAATTTCTGTGTACCTGAATATAACTTTCTGATACAACTTGTCCCTCTTGAGCAAATAAAAAAAAAAATGTGTCCCAAAGATGATGACAGAAATCTTTCTATCTTTAGGAAAACACTCCTGGTGCACTTCAGCAACAAGGAAGAGGAACAGAAAAGCAAATATCATATTCCTGTGTGTCTGAAGAAGGTACTGTACTTCATCTGTAGCAATGGATCATCTGGATCATTCTGTTATATTGTCAACATGATTGTATGATGACTTCTCATATCAAGCTATTGTGGCCAACATAATGTCTAAGTAATATATCTAAATGTTTAACCCTATATACTTTTAATGTAAACATACTGTTTTAGGTTTTGGCCATAAAAACACATTTCACCATTGCTTCAACATTATGACCCCGAGGTTGAGATTTCACAATGTACTTCGGAGTATTTAAGTAATTATCCTATATATTGAAGTATTGCCGTCATGGTTGTGCCCCTCTGTGAATAAGTGTTTTAAGTGCAGGGTATGTGTGTGTGTTTGTTATATGACGCATGTAAACACGTCCTATGTGTGTTTGTCTGTCCCCCCCACAGGGCTGCAGGGATGTGTCCGGCTTCATGCAGGCTGTGCTGGGCCTCCTCCTGCCTCTGGGGTACGAGTATGACCCCAGTCTGGTCCTGCTGGTCCGGGCTCCAGACAGCGGGCTGTGTGACGGAGCCTGGCAACAACTAACAGGCCTGCTGCAGGGCCTCGCACAGGGACACGCACTGGTGCTGATGCAGGTAAGGAAGACTGGAGCAGGTTTGATAAAAGTACAGACTGGGACAGAGTTTCATTCAGTCCCCAGGGTCAGAACCAAACATGGAGAAGAAGCTTTCAGTTTTCATTCACTGCAGAACACAGAGAAAAGTTGACTTCCACCATAACTCTTTTTCTCTTAAATTGAGGTTCAAAACTTCTATTTTTGCCACTGCTTTTTTCCCAGGTCATTAGATCGTATACCCCTGCACCTCTTAAATCTACCTAAAAAATGTAATTGCCTTTGTGTCTGAAATCTGCTAAGCTTTAATAAACTTCCTTACAATTAATGCCAAATTAATCCTTGATAGTGTGGAAATACAACTGTTAATTTGGGGGAGATTTAAATAGCAGTATGTAATTATTTTTTATAATTTCAGGAAGGTGAGAGTGTGTGTGTCGGCCCCACCGCCTCCTCTCTCCTGGGGGAGGCGGCCCCCTCCCTGGGGAAGCTTCCCGCTCCTCTTCCGGAGGACGTGGAAGCGTTGGAGAGATTAAGAACCAGACTGCAGGTGGACTGGAAGCTGCTGCAGACTACAGGTGAAATCACAGCAGCAGCAGCATTATAAATAAACATGACACATAATGTGACATCCACAGAGTTTAAAATGACTTGTACTTTAATAATATAAACTTTTGTCTCCTAAAACAGCACCAGAAACTGGAAGAGGGGTTGAGCACTGAAGCCGATCCTGCTCCTTTAATTTTGTAAAGAAATCAGTTGAAGCAAGTCAATCAAAGGTGTTGATAACATTTTGTATTTTTGCAAGGTTTTATTGTCCAAACAGAACTTCAATCATTCCCATTGTGCCACTTAAATAAACAGATTTTTGTACATGAACCTTGTGATATAATGTCAACTTAATTTGTAGAGCTTATGATTAACAACTCAAACTAAATAAAAAAATTGTATTTATCTTGTTAAAGATTTATTCACATCACTCACATCTTTGAATACTGGACAATACCGGTTTGTGTTATGTTACAATTGTGATTATTTTTTATCTCCCTGCATTTCAAAAAAGGATTTCTTATTTCTTTATATTTTTCTCAAATCTCTCACTGTCAAAACATTTTCTCATTTATTTGTTGCCAGATTATGATACAGTCAATTACTGTTTACTAATTTTGTAATAGTGACAAATTAAGGATGTTACAATTCTGAGAAACTACATTTATTTCACAGTTTCTTCAGTTTACCATTCTGCATGGTGAGTTTTATTATAAAGTACATTTCTGATAATTCTTATCGATTTTCAATTACGTACAATTTGAATGCAGGACTATTACTTGAGTATCTTCGTCGTGTAGAAATGCGAATTTATTCTAATGATCTAAATACTTCTTTCACTACTTTTAAGGGAATTCAATGCTCACAGGTCCACTTACTAGTTAGAGGATTTTCATTTTAGTCTTCAGTTCTTAAAAAGCTCCGAAAGCCAGTTTGAGGTGAGTTTCTCTTGTCTTAATCATTCTCTATTTATCGTCATTTACAACATTAGATAAAAGTATGTTTTATTAGGATAATACTGTCTATTTTTAAGAACCAGACTATGAAACCCCCTGTTCCTAGTCATGCCTGTAGGGGGCGCTGTGGGGTGACCCGTCGGTAAACATGGAGCAGATGAAGCTTTTCCTCACATGAGAGTCATTGGTCTGTTGATGCCCCACCGGCTCTGCTTTCCTCAGTCTCTTGTCTGCCTGATTGTATCTGCTGTACTTACTGTACAGCGGTGCCCTGAACGCACCACAGGGAGGAGTGACTATATTTATACATCTGTGGCAGTGACAATATTAACAGACATAAAGGGAGAGCACACAAACGCATCATACTGAAAGATGTCTGCGACCCCGCAGCCCGCAAAGATGAAAAAGGACGAGTCTTTCCTGGGGAAATTAGGAGGAACTCTGGTGCGGAAGAAAAAGTCTAAAGAAGGTAAGTTGTTTTTCTTGGTTTTTTTATATTCAAAAAAGGGCCTTTATCCTGCTTGGTTCTCTTTTTGGGGTTTCTGTCCATGGTGCTGCAATCACATGATGGGCTATTAAAATATTCCCCCTCTGGGAATCAGAGCACTCAAATCATGCAGAGCTCCACACAATATATGAAAAGACATCTACAGTAGGCTATAGTGTTTCGGTTTCCTAAATGTATCCTTCCTTTATGGTTGTATCCTTCTTTTTTAAGTTGATGTATTATGGATTTATAACCTCATGCTTATTGTATCAACATTAATTATAGTTTCAATATCTAACATACTGAGCCTTACTGTAATTGCGATTCTTCTTTGGAAGTGTTTGAGAGGTGAGAGCATTTCCTCTGAACAACTCCACAGGCATTTTCCATGAGACAATGGACATAAATAGATCATAAAGATACAGTAGTGGTGCCAGGAATGCCAAGTTCTGAAGATAAGGTGTAAGAGGGTCACTGTTTTAAACTTTGTTTTATATATCAACCCCCCCCCCCTGTCTTATTGTCCTACTTTTCCAGTTGGCCAAACTATTTTCTGCCCTCCCTTGGGCCAGACACTGTGTGGTAAAACAGACAGCTGCAAGGTTTAATGCTGTGTGTGTGTGTGTGTGTGTGTGTGTGTGTGTGTGTGTGTGTGTGTGTGTGTGTGTGTGTGTGTGTGTGTGTGTGTGTGTGTGTGTGTGTGTGTGTGTGTGTGTGTGTGTGTGTGTGTGTGTGTGTGTGTGTGTGTGTGTGTGTGTGTGTGTGTCGTCTTTTCCTGTGTTTGTGCTCACAGCCATGTGTTTGTAAAGGAGGCCCACCAGTAGGAGGACAGAGACCTAATAATTGTTCGGGAGCCTCATTAAACTCCACACATCTCATCTAAAAAGACATGAGCTTCCACCTATTTTAAGAAGAGGTTTAAACAGTTTGATATCTCTTAATCAAACTGCCGAATTTAGTGTGACAGTTTTCTTTTTCACAGTTATAAGAGCTGAAACAACTCGTCACTTAGCTGATTCTCTGACTCATTTTGTTAATCAATTCATAGATGAGCCCCATGGTAACATGATTTCCCAAAAATATTTGATTCTTCCTTTTATAATGTTTTAGCAGATTGTATTTCAAGACTGAATATGTCAGCACAGGTGGTCTTGGTTGCCCTATTTTAAAGAGGCCATATTATGCTTTTTTGAGTGCCTGTGTTATATTCGTTGTTGTGCATGTAAATGGTCTGCGAAGGCTAGAATCCCAAAGCTTCTCTTCTCTCCCACACACTCCGCCTCCTTCCTGAAACGCCTCCATTGAACTCCTTTGTTTACTTCTTCAACATAGTGACATCACTTTGTAACTTTTTTTATCTCCAACACATTGTACGTGACAGGCTAAGGGGTGGGACATCTCTGAGCTGATCATAAATCACAACAGATCCGTCCATCCAACCAATCAGAGCAGGCTGGGATCTCATTTCAGACAGAGGGTGAAAAGAAAAGAGAACAAAAAAACACTTTTTGAACATTTGAGCATGAAACATGTCACAGTAGAGCCACAATTCCTTAACCTTAATTCTGGCGCTAACTTTAGCATAGAGGTATAGGTAGAGGTATAGGTAAACGTGGGGTATTGAAAACTTGTGACCGGAGGGTCCCTTTCTGCTAATATGTATAAAATATACAACATAAATCTGTAATTGTTCCTTTAATTGTCCACCTCCAGTTTACCTATACAATAACCCTCGGTCCCTAGACCTTAAAGGTCACCTATTATGCAAAATCCACTTGTTCATGTCTTTTATACATAAACATGTGTCCCCTCTGTGTAAAGAGATTCTGAAAGTTTCAGGAAAAAAGATTCTCTCTCTTTTTGTCCTGATCCATTTCTATAAAAACCTGTCTGAAAATGAGCTGATCAGATTTTGGCCACTTTATGATGTCATAACGCTTTTTTGGCTTGTGTAACCATTAGCCAATAACCAACCAAGGTAACCCCCCCCCCCACCTTATCACCTGAATCTCCTCCTAGAGCACCATTGTGTTCTTTTTAACCAAATATCTCTCAGAGGGGCGTGGGGAGGGGCTCCTTATTTTCATCTAAAGTAACAGACAGAGAATCAGCACTTTTGAAACAGGGCTGAAACAGAGGGGATTATGGGATGCTGCAATGATCTGTTTGGTGTTTGGAGCCAAACACTTCAGAGACATGTTTTGTATATATCTGAGACCTATAATATATTGATAACAGTATAATAGGGGACCTTTAATGGTGCCAACATATGCTTCTAGCTCCTTGCTGCAGGGAATACATTGTGCAGTGAGAAGGGATTCCTTTAGCCTCAGAGCCAGTGTTTGAGTGCAGCTTGTGGGAGTGCAGTGCCCCTGTGTGGTGAAAGGGGATTTAACCTCAACGGACCTATTTGGTCGTATAAATTGGAGGACTTGTTGGAGCGAGCTTTTAAAATGTAATTTAAAAGTTATAAGGTCTTGGTGATGTTATTGTTATAAATCAGTAAAACAATAGACATGTATGTGAGGTGTAGTCCACAGCTTGTGGTCTCATGAGCTGCTGCTGTGGTTTCTGTTACAGTTGGGTGTGGTACTCTTTATTCTTTGAGAGGAACACCCAAGACAGATGAGTTGCCACTGGAACAGTTGCTTCACATTTGCTGAATAATCATTAATAGCGTAATGGCACTGATGACATATTCTACAATGTGCTGACACCCCTTAGTAACCACATGTACATGTTTTTAGTTCAGTATTAAACACTCAAACCATACTCTCCTTCTTGTGGTAGAAGAAATAGGATGTAGTAGTAAGTGTTGCTTGAGGGTGAGGCGACTGGACTTTTTTTTAACAAAGTCCAGATTCCTGCAGACCCAGTTTTCAGAGATACTGCATGGTCATGGCCCTCTCTGTATATCCTGATAAACTGAAAGGAAGTCTGCTTTACTCTGACAAGGCTCAGCTCCCTCTGTCAGCAACAGGCTGTAACCGTGATAGTAAAGTCAAGGAAAAAAAACATGTTTTGTTTTTCTTTATAAGGACTGAGAGGATGAACTTTAGGGCACATCCCGCTATCTTAGAGAGAAGAGTATCTACACTCTGAAAATACAAACTGACTAAGATACAATTGTCAGGATGGATGCTGATAATAGTAAGTCATCTATTTGTTGTTGCTGTTTAACCTCTTTTACATACTTACGTACTTTTTGTTGTTGTTGCTACTTCTACCAACACAAGGAGACTTGAGTCGTTTTTGCATTAGTTCATATATAATGCATTCATCTGATGTCAAATCAAACCAAAATAAGATACAAAATATATTTGTTTATACTGTCGTCGCTTTGTGTCTTTTGCTCTTCATTATGCCATATTGTTGCTTTAACAATTTATCAATACTCAATACTTCACATTTCACATTTAAAAAAATATTTTCTTATATTAGAAGCCAAGAGACTCACTGATATTTATGCAAAGTCCACTCAAGTCAATTCATTATATTGCCGATGTAGTGGCAAACAGTACCTTATGAGCAATTGTTGCTGCAGTATATGTGGGGTGATATTTTAACAAGAAATCGCAGTACTCAATTGTCAATGATGTATTCAAGATTCTATATTTTTTAACAGTGAATTTACCCGCCAACACATATCTTGGCCAAAATTCGTAAAAACTAATTTTAAAGGGGACCTATCATGCAAAATGCACGTTTTGATGTCTTTTATGCATAAATATGTGTCCCCGGTGTGTCAGGGAACTCACGCAGCGTCAGAAAATAAAACCCTCTCTCTTTTCCTCCGTACCCAAATCTCTAAAAACGGGGCTACAACGGAGCTGATCCAGATTTGTGTCCGATATGACATAATATCGGAAATGTAGGCTGGCTTTACACCCACGGCCCTATCAGAAACGTTGCTATCAGAAACAATGCCCGACTGTTTTGGACGTAATATGGTCGGTGCATGTTTACATTAGCATCGCTAACACTCAGAGCTAACCTGTACTGCACAGAGCATGTGTGTGAAGAAGCAGGAAATAAAAAGGAACTCAACTTGTGGTATAACCGGCAAGAGAGAAAGCCTTTGAGCTCCATACTGTTTCAGAAATAATCCTTGATAATCCATGATATGGCGTTTCATCACCGCAGTATTTAGTTTAGACAGTAGCTGCCGGGTCCCGCATGAGCTCAGCCCCCCTCCCAAATCAGCACGTTTGAAACAGGAAGTGAATGGAGGGATATGAGGCATGGCTAGAATGGGTGATCTGTTTGGTATTTTGAGCAAAACACTTCATAGACATGTTTTTTATATATTTGTATATATCTGAGACCTATGCTATTGCCTAAAAATAGCATGATAGGTGACCTTTAAGAACATTTAAAAGGCAACTTTTGAAAAAGTTTGTGTATGTTATTTGTTGAATGAAAAAGAAAAACGTAATAAAAGAAGCATATTGGCACATATGTTTCTTCAAAATCCTCACCTATTACAGCAACACAACATTTGACTCCTACTATCCTTTAAAAAAACACAAACAAATAGTATAATAGTAAAATAGGTAAAAAAAAAAAAATAGGTAATAGAAGGTATACAGATAAGATTACAGATACAGATTACAATAAAGACACAAAATCGAATTACTACAAAATGTACAAAATAGTATGTCAAATAGGTGTTATTAGCTTGATGTAATAAGAGTGTATATCTCTCAGCCAAAGGCCCCGTGTGGAACAGTCCCAGTGACTCACTGGTGCCTGTGGTGTAAATAACCAGAGCGGCTATATTTAAGGTCTGCCTTCCCCTTACTGCTGCATTATTTATACTCCCCTGTGCCACAGTGAACCTCCTCCCCCTCGGGAGTAATGGAACCAAACAAGAGGAGGTCGATTTCAATATGCTTTACGCTGTTGTTTATGATGCACACTGATTATATCTAGAACATTGTATTCATCTCTAAAGCAAAGAAGAAGCTGACCGTATGTTGTTGTGTCTTTTTCCATGCTCGTTTGAAGGAACCTCTGAGGGGCTTTTGACATTAATTTGTGCAATGAAGCCGGCATAAGATAAATGTTCTGACTGCAGGCTTAGATTTGTATTGAATTAGAGTAATTCTGTTAACAGGACTACAGCTGCTGCCTGATTTATCATCCTCTGCAGCAAAACATATAAAAGGCTCCATTTACATGCTCAGTTATGCACGGAAACAAGTGGATTCTCTGATTGCTGTGAAATTACTAGACTACACTTATTTAAGAAAACAAATTACACCATGCTTTATGCATTTATATAGAATACAATGAAAGGTAAGCCAGCACTTTACCTCTCATGGTCAGTCTGTCAGTCCACTGTTTGTGCGTTTATGTCCAGTGTGGTCCTAATTCCTGCCCCAAACACACACATACACACAACACACACACCCCTCAGCGTGTCCTGTAACTGGACCACAGACGTGGGGTGGAGGGTTGTGACAGAAATAAACACGTGATGACGCCCCTGCCATTGCCCAGTCCCACCGACTGCGATTCACACACACACACACACACACTCTACTACACTTTCTACCTTCGCTCACTGCCGTCGTTGAGAATCAAGAGGTTTATAGAAGGGACATGGCGGGGCTGTTGTGTGGGACTAAGAGGAAGAAACAAGGTACATTTGGTTTTCATTTTGAGCTTTGAGGAACTTGGAAGTGGTAATGGGGAAGCAGGAGATTTACCTTAGTGCAACTGTAGGTTAATGTCCACTAATGTTGCTGTAGGAGATCATCAAGATGTATTAGTCACTACAGAATAGATTGTGTGTGTCTCTGTGAGAGATTTTGATTTATTTCTTGACCGACAAGTGGAAATATTTTCAAAATCATTCTCCAGATATTTGCCTTAGTAAATTAATGATATTGTATAATTTGTGCATTTTATACCAGATTGTACTTGACTGTGTGAAGTGCCAGCAGCAGTTATGTGGTCAAATGGACAGCGGGGGGAAAAGGAAACACAATTATGATGAAATGCGGCGAGCTTGCTCTGTAATTACAAAGCAAACTGCTGATCTGCGGTGAGATAGTGGATATTCAGCTCTTATGGGACGGCTGAATCAGATAGGAAATCTGTGGGGACCGTTGCTCCCGGGGTAAATATGTACAGTTTATCCTCTTTGTACATGCTTTGAAGTAGAGATTTCATCATAAACACACAGTCCTAGACTTGCTTTCATTATATCCCTATTAGAAAACGCTATTTTACATGCTTTTAATTTAAAAACCGGTTCAAATTTAAGCTCAAATTGTGTTTTCCTTGCATACGTTAAAAATATCAATGTCAATGAAATGACTTGACTATTGATTGTGTTTCATCCAGTTGCAGGTTGTACAAATTGAAATGTGGGATAATAAAAGCACTATGGCCATTAGTGGAAAGAGCCTTTAAATCCCTTGAGTGTTTCTTCAGTCAGAAGTAAAAGCATCTCAGCGGAAATTGATTTTATTCAATGCCAAGTGTGTGTTACTTTTTCTGTGTCTTGTCACCTTTAATCAGCTTTCTTGTTTACAGTTTTACTCCATATTCTCACTTTGGATACATTTTAAGTTTGTTTACACTGGATAAATCCCCAAATATACTTTTAGGAGCCAAGATACATACTGAAATGACTTAATTTGTTTAAATAAACGTAAATGGAGACTGCCGCCCACCAAGGCAATCTGTGGTGGAAAGGAAAGAGTCTCACATGGTTGGAGATAAGTGACAGACCCTCAGGCAGCAGTTAAAAATCCCTGGATAAACATTTCTTACAGAAACTCTCAGCTAGATAACAGTGCATTGTTTGCAAGATTTCTTATAAGCACAATATGGTTCATCATGGCGAGTGAATGGTTGTAATATACTTTATAATACAATACTTTATAATGTGGAATTGGGCGTGAAACTATTCTAACTACAAACTATTAGACTTTGATGAGTTTGTCCTACGTGAAGTACAAACGCAAATTAAATAAATACATCATAGCAACAATAATTCACTATGATTCTGATTTCTATGGCATAAAATCAAGTATGACGTTTAAAAAAGACGTTTCTTAAAAGCGCACTGTGCCAACTTAGTACTGCACGCGTATCACATTGTTGGACTCATTATAGACTTTTTTAAATGATCAAAATTGATGCAGCAGATCCAGAGATACCATACATTCTTGTTCCTTGTCAAAACCTAGCTCCTACATTACCCACAATGCAACTCAACCACTTAAAAATTGCTCGGAGATTCAGGATTTTAAATGCTCGTAGTGTCTTATGAAACTAATAAAGTGGCTAGACTCAAGCAGAGAAGAGAAGTCACAGCACTGGTAGACTCACTTCTAACTCAATTCCCCGCAATATCTTTTTCAAACTTAGTCTTCAGCCCCATCCCATGCTGACTCAAATGACAACACTTTATTTTCTCACATATGCAGACTGTGAAACTGATTCAGAGAAACCTTTAGAAATGTCCTTTTGTTCAGCTTTGACTGTCACTGATTGAGAAGGTGGTGGTGGAGTGACTGAAGTGGAGTCTGTAGAGGAGGAGAAAGGGCTACATTTGACTCAAAATCGATTCAAAAGTAACACCTAACTTTCCCCACCAGGGTACTGGGTGTGATTGTGCAACAGTGACTCTCACAAGCTTTCTCTTTAATTCCATTGCTGTGCTGTCCCACACTCTTTCCTTGCTCAACTCACTTGCTTCATCTCGAGTATTTTTCTGTTGATTTGTTTTATCTAATTAGTTGTGCATGTCTCTAATGTTCTGTGTGTGTGTGTATTCTTGTCTTACCAGTGAGTGATCTCCATGAGGAGGGGAAGAATGCCATCAACGCTCCCATGCTTCCCACGGGGACAGAAATCCATCCGGAGGACACACTGATGGGTATACACACACACACACACACACACACACACACACACACACACACACACACACACACACACACACACACACACACACACACACACACACACACACACACACACACACACACACACACACACACACACACACACACACACACACACACACACAGCATATCTTATGTTAAAACACTACCATCTCTTTGAATGTGCACATTTATGACTGGAGTTTGCTCTGTTGATGAATTTGCATTTCCAATATGATCAACTTGAGGTCACAGAGAAACATCAGTTGACACATTTGTGCTTCACGGGCACTTCGACATCTGAGCAGCAGGAAATGAAAGTGGGTGGACGCCTCAGTCACCGTGTGAATCACTGTTGAAGTGAGAGTGATAGAAACATTGTATGAGTGTGTCTGTGTGTGTACATGTGTGTTTATGTGAGATAAAAATGTCTGCATGTGTCTAAGGGGGGAGATAAGTGTGTGTGAAATGAAACAGGATATTTAAGTGTCACTCTAAACTAAGTGTCTTCATTTTCTCATATTATGTTCACCAGAGGAAAACGCAGAGAGGATCATGTTGGACCCAACATCGCGGGAAAATCTTAAATTTAAAGATCTTCTGAAGGTAGTCTGAGATCATGTTTTGTGCATAAGCATTACATCTCTTCAGAACAATCACAGTGATGAAAATGTGTAGAAAAAAGCACAGAAAACACAATAGATCTGTTTGTATGATGATTTGTATTCAGGTCCTGATAGACTGGATCAACAGTGAGTTGGAGGAAGACCGGATCATAGTCAAAGACCTGGAGGAGGACTGTTATGATGGACAAGTTCTCCAGAAGTTATTTGGTGAGAAACTGGTTTCTTTGGCAGTCTAACTCTCAAACCATCTTTGTCAATACATATTCTGTAGGGTCTTTAAATTGCCATGCAACAATATGAACACTTGCAGAAATCGTAGTAGTAAAAGGTATTAAAAAAAACAATAACTTATATAAATATGTTTTTGTTTCATATTCTGAGTTTGATTTTTGATATTAGTCTATGACCAAAACATTGCCTTTTTCAACAAACTTGCTGCCAGTAGTCAACAATAATTAATATTTTATTCTGTATGATTACATTTCTGTTTGCACCTGCAGCTGCAAAATAAAGAAAACTTAATTGGTGGTATTATCAGAAGTACATTTGCAGCTGTTCCAAAATCAATCAAAGTACATAGTGTTATCTCAAATAAGCATTAAAGCCTTCTTTGATCCCTGGGACACCCTTATTCACACTGATATCATTCCAATACTTTATTTTATTTTATGAAACATTCACATTTTGAGAAAATCTTATTAACGAAAAACGTATGGAATGACAAAGCCTGTCCAAAACATGTTCATTTCATAAAAAAACATGTTTGATAACTTATATTGTTCTGTCCCCTCCCCTACTGTATGTAATGGATGTGTGTTCACTATGGTGGTGCTCTGTCTCATAATGCTTCAAAGTCTGCTCGTGGCTTCCCCCTTGTGTCTGTTATTTGTAACAGCAAGAGCAAAACATTTTCAGATTTCCACAATATACGCTGGGTTAGGGTTAAATCTTCCCCTTCTGCTACACGTGTTGCTCTGTAGATTGGAAAAAAGCCTCTTCTTTAAACCAAAGTGTCTGTAAAATGAATATAATGTAATGCCACTGTCGTATAGTAACAATATCATTATTGCAGCCTGACAAGAACTTGCATATTCATTTACGGAAGCCAGGTAATACACATAGGCCTGACACATATGTTGCAGAAGTGTCACGAACAACAACTAAAACACACAGCAGGAAACATTTAGTTAAGAGACGTGTGATTTCTTTCATTTCTGTTAAGGCTGTTGTTGTTGTCACACTTCTTCGTTACTTTTGCACCTTCTGTACCGTCTTTTGCTGCATCAGTGCCTGTTTTAGATTTCCAAAGATTCAAAGGCTTTGTTGTCTAATGCACAATAGCCAAAGGTTTTTGCAATGAAAATGAAAAATATATGAGAAGATCTCCGGTGTTGCTGGTTTGTTTTTTCTTTATATTTGAGCCCACGCCCTTGAGATAAGCTCCATAAATCCTTCTTCTTTGTATTGCTTGCATCAGAGAATCTTTTTTGTCTAAAGCCCCCACATACATCTTCAAGATCACCATGTCCTTGTTTTCCAATAAACAAAACTTGTAAGCCTACTGATACTGTACGGGAACGAACAAAAACATTTTGTTTTGCACTTCTTTGGGACTTCCTGTAACTTGTGTCTACAGTTGACCTGTTCAGGACATCACAACACTGTCCCATGATACATGATGTGTTTCCCTGAGTTTGAGCTAATATTTCCTCTCATGTTGTTGACAGAAAAGTTGTCGGGCAGGAAGCTGAACGTGGCCGAGGTGACTCAGTCCGAGATCGGCCAAAAGCAGAAGCTGCAGACGGTTTTGGAGTCCGTCAACGAAATGCTGCGGCCTCATGGCTGGACCATTGAGTGGAGCGTGGACTGTGAGTTTACTACGACTTTAGAGATTTGCTACTTTGCTACTCCAGTGGTTAAGTTATAGCACTTCTATCATTTGGAGAATTTACAAGAGACAGACATTTAAAATAAGGTCAAAACAGAGGCCGAGATTTCTTGGCTTTCAGCCTGAAATATGGGTCAAGCTTAAATAATATTGGAGGTTCCATTTTTCACAATACAACGCAATACCACATTCTCCTTAAAACTCCACTTTGTAATGCACGGTTTATTTTTAAACGTTAAAGGTGGGGTAGGTATTTCACTTCAGAAACAGTTTTTGTTATATTCCATGGAATGCTCTTAACATAGCAATGAATATATTAAATGCTTTGACAATAAATACATTACAAAATGTCATCTGTGGAAGCTGTAAAAAGTACGACCAATCATCTGAGCCGGCCCGGCTAAAATAACTGGATGGCCTACCTGCCTGTCAGCCTTCCATCTGTGCACAAACTTATCTCGTGCCCTCATTGGTCATGTGCGCGTTCGTGTGTGTTGGAGGAGGGGCTCTGTAAGGAAGTCTGAAGGAAGGGGCAGATTTTTTTCGGTCGTGTACTTTCAAATTCTAGCGCACTCAAGCTGGTTTCTCCATTCTTACCTACCCTACCTTTAAGTCTCAATCCATTTTACTGCAAAAAACATTGCACGGCTGTTTTTACGGGCTGTGTCCTTGAGACAAGTCAACTGAATTTAATTAGCAAAATTGTTGGAATTCGCCCTCTCAACACATAATCTCTTGATTTGCATAACACCACATATGTAATCCTGTTCAGGTTTTGAGAGGCTCTACAAACATCAGGATTTCCTGCTGGAGCTCAGCGATGAAATTCATTCATGCTTTATTACCTTTATGTCTCCTGATAAGAGCTGGATGTTATGTTACATTTTTAGAAGATTGCTTTCTTCCGTTATCTTGCAGTGTGCAAAGATCTTATAGTCCTTTGCTTTGATTTACAGCTATCCATTCAAAGAACCTGGTGGCGATCATCTACCTGCTGGTGGCTCTGGCGATGCACTTCCAGGCTCCGATCAGACTGCCGGAGCATGTTTCTGCGCAGGTGGTGGTTGTCAAGGTAAAGTGGCTCAAAGAGCTCACACAGGGTTCACATTCATTATCATTATGTGCAGTGACATAGGGATGGATACGGAGCTGTATAGTTATTTTGATTCAGTTAATTACCAGCCCCAACAGCGTACAGCTGGTGTATTTTATTGTAGTCATCTTGTGGGTCTCTGTGTGTGTATTCATGGGTTCTTGGGGACACCAACTGTAGCATGAACTAACACTAGCTTTAATGTCTGTCTGTCAAATTCAATACCATGCCCCTTTCCCAATTTGTTGGTGTGATTCTTTTGCAAGATTGACTCAGTTAAACTTGTATTTAACCTTCACTAAGATTAGGAATGTCTTATTAAACTTATATGAATGAGTTACAGTCAAACAACACAAGACATATAATTCAGAATATACCTCAATGTTTAACAAAAATCTGTTTTTAAATTCACAAATAACATTTCTTCTCATCTTAGAAATGTTCAAAATGTAACTTCAAAACAACCCGAAACACCATAAGAATAACAAAGACCTATCCAAACTTTAATATAATGAGGACACACATCATAGTGACGGATAAAGTGTCAGTTTTTGCCATCGTTCATTATCTGTCTGTGTCGTCTGTACATTTAATTTTCATAATGTGAATCAACAGTCCTTGTTATTCTGTCATGTCGTAGCTAAAGTGTTTTGATTGTGTTTGAGCAGAAACGTGAAGGCATCCTGCAGACGGCTCTTGTGACCAAGGAGCTGACGAGCACCACAGAGTAAGAGCTGATATTTAAATATTTGTATCCTCAACTGTCCTTTCTTTTATATTAATGATGTCATTTAAAGTATTATAATGAATATTGTGGTAATAAGTATCTCTCGTTTTTTCCAGAATGATGATGGGAAGATTTGGTAAGTCCAAGAGACACATTCTGTTACAGTATTATCCCTTTACCAATGATTGTTTCTCATTATTAATGTCCCTGCTTAAAGAAGTATTGCTGCGCTTCGATAATGCTATTCCAGGACATTATGCTAAGCTAAGCTAACCACCGGCTGGCTGTAGACATATATTTACATGACAGATAATAGAGTAGTATTGATCTTATCAGCTTTATTTCCCAAAATGTCGTACTGTTCCTTTAAGTATTCATAACCTTTGAATTATTAATTTTTTCACAACAGAGAGGGACGCGTTTGACACTTTGTTGGATCACGCACCTGACAAGCTCAACGTGGTGAAAACGGTATAAAAGACATTTCCTTTGCATGATAATGTACAGTAATAAAAATGTGGAGTACAAACTATTAACAGTTTGTTGATCCTGTTTCCAGTCTCTCATCACCTTTGTGAACAAACACCTGAACAAGCTGAACCTGGAAGTGACTGAGCTGGAATCTCAGGTAAGAGATTTAATGGTTCATCTACAGAGGGGTGTCCAAACCTTTTTCACCGAGGGCCACATACAGAAAAATATACGAAGGTTTGGGCCGCTCACTAGAGGTATTTAGCCTCATAAGTTCAGTTATAAGTCAGTAAAAACAATCAAATGTAGGTCAATGATGCTTCAACGACAGCCTACTGTACATCACAGCTCTCCAGAGGGTTTCATTTATTTTGTTAGCAGCTCATTCCTTAAAACAGGAGCCTCAGGTTGCTTGAAATAAGAGGATATAGGAAGAGTTTATTTCAAGCTTGTTATGTAAATAAGTTATTAGGCTTTTTTTTGATCAACTAACTTTTGTTTTCAGCTTTAATTGACTGAATTTATTTGAAAAGTGGGCTTCTTAACACATGAATACTACTGTTTAATATGTGTTTTAATCTATATTTAAGAAGTACAATACAATACAAGACAAGCACATGTTTCATTTGTGGGCCGTACTCCATTCTACTTTTTTAATTTGCTGAAGGCCGATTCAAAATGACAGCCTTGTGATCCATTTAAAATTAAAATGGTGTTATTTAACAATTTATTTCAAATATTGTATTTTATTGTATTCCTCTCATCATCACTTAATGTGCATGCATACAAATCCAATCTGTTTTACTCGTTCAGTTTGATATTGAATTTGCTGTGAATTTTCATATAGACATTAATACTGTTTATATCCGTGTGTGTCCAGTTTGCTGATGGCGTGTATCTGATATTGCTGATGGGGCTGCTCGAAGACTACTTTGTCCCTCTGTTCAACTTCTTCCTCACTCCTGAGAGCTTCGAACAGAAGGTGAGTACACCTCCTCAAAAAGTGGAAATTGTCAGTTAAAAAAGAAGACTTTTAGCAACTCATCACTGAATTGAGTTTTCATGTTGTTACCCTGCAGGTCCACAATGTGGCGTTTGCCTTTGAGCTGATGCAAGATGGAGGCCTGAAGAAACCCAAAGCCAGACCAGAAGGTATTTTATAGATGTGTTACACAATTACAAGATCAGAAGACAATTTCCCAGAGCAGACTTTATGGAGACTGACCTAGATTACTTGCTGAAAAGACCCTCTAAAAACAATGTTTAATGGTTGTCATATTAAAAGATGTCCAGTAGATGGAGACCTTGCTTCACCCTTAAACTCTCATACTGAATACATGTTGCTGAGTTTATTTGGCCCTGGGATAAACTTTTTTATAATATAATTTAAAGCTGATACTTCAAGAATCAAAACATTACTAACTGGGGTCACGTAGTTGTTGATTTTTCTGTTGGTTATTAATAGAGATGCAGATATTTGCATTTTATGTACCCATTTTACTCTGCATACCCCCTGTAGAGTTGGAAATGCTATTACAGAAATAGCTTTCAGAGCGTGATCTAATACAGTTGACTGATCACGTACTTAAACTGTAATCAGTATTTTGCTTTATTGAAGCATTCAAATTTAAATCAGACACTGTAACTTACATTAAGCCGCAGGATATGATATTGGTAGAAGAATATATTCCACTTTGTTGTTGATGTTCAGTTTAATGGAAATCTTCTCTGTCACAAAACAATCCCGGCATATGTGAGGGATAATGCCCGACAAGTGTCCATTATCAGGAATTAATTGATGACGGGAAAGGAGCCGGAGTCCATTACTTCTTGATAATGGAAAACCGCTTTTATCATGGTCACTTGCCACAGAAAAATAAAATTGCAAGGCATTAATTGATTTTTTTATAATGAAAATGTTACGTTTTTTTATAATCCCTAACTCCCTGATATCATCTGAGGGTATGACTAATACCTGGAGCATCATTACCATCCCATAATATTTCTATTAAATCTAACCTAGTGCTTGCATAATTCAAAGTAAATACATTTTGACTGTATGTTTAACAACAAAACTAGATCCATATCTTAAAGTGAATGTGTAAATAAACACTATCAATAAGTTAGGAGGTGCAGTGTTGTTATTGCAGTGTTACAGTTGCCATCCTGCAGCCAATCAGAATTGAGTATTCACCCAGACCGTAATATAATGTAAGAGCCATATATATCTGGGGCTCCTCATACTGTATGCCTCATTTAGGAATATTAAATATACATACTGTACAATGTAATACTCTCTTACATAATTCTCAGAGCTACATTACTTAAAATATTCACATTTCGCTCCATATTCTTGTCCCATATTTCTTAATATTTAATATCCTGCAACCCAGTTTTAATTTACTTACTTATTTACACTATATTCTCCTACTTACTGCACATGCTTTTGCTTTTGATCTTTGTTTTTATTATTTATTCCGCTTAAACTACTCTTTAACATTTCCTGTTTTCTATGTCGGTATATCTCCATTTAATTATAATTGCTCTATTCACAGTCCTTGGAGATGGCAACTAAGTATTATACTGCACAGCTGTGGATGTTGTTAATATATTAATAAATATATGAATCTTTAACCAGTAAATATTGTTTCCCTCCACTGTCTAAATGCAAATGAGTTTTCCTTCTACTCACATTTATTTTTGACTAAGTCAGAAACTAAACATTTCTTCACACCAAAACACAATGTTTTGCAATAATTGGACATTATAGTTATTATCTTCATACTGATATTATGCTCCAACTCTCATATTCCAGTCTTCTAATTAGTAAATGGTTTGCCAAGACTTTTGAATATCAGCAGGTGCATTGTAAACAAGAGTTGCTTTTAATGATATCAACAGTGTCACCCAAAATGCAGACCATTTTTTTATTTTGATTTCATTAGATTTATTTAGAATGTGTAAAACAATAATACAAAAATTTAACATGAGAATTATTATACAATACAAAATCAAGCAGTGTCAAATTGATATACAAAAATATTACTGATTCTAAGTTATGTATAAACAAATGATCTACTTAATTACACATCCGAAAAGCACAATAATGAGCTTAATGCATCTTAGTTTAAATAGCCCAGCTGTAACACAATGATGTCTGGCTTGAATAACTTAACCTAGAACTACATGTGATGAGATATTACAATAAGCACTTATGTATACAGCATGTTACTGATGAAGGGAACAGAAAGTGTTTTTCTCTCCTTGTACGACGTAATACATCATATGATCTATGATGAGCTATTTTAAGCTCCATTTCCTTAAAATTACAAATAACCTTTAAAGGAAAGTAGTCCAACAGCAACAATCGCAGTGAGAGCTCCTTTGCATTGTAGATAGGATTTTATGGCAGCTAAGCTAATTTATTTTGTGCTTAATGTTTCAAGGAGCTTTTAAAAGATTAGTTTTTGTGACCATCAAAGGTCTAATTGTCTCCCAGAATCCCCCTTAAAAACATGTTTGTCAAACTCTAATATGTCTGTTATCTCCCATTTGTTTTCCAGATGTTGTCAACCTGAACCTGAAGTCCACCCTCAGAGTCCTCTACAACCTTTTCACCAACTACAAAAACTCTGAGTGAACTGTTCCAGTTTCACCCCCCTGATATTACTTCTGAACGCTGCTCTGTGCCTGTGCTGATTATACGTAGCAGTCTGGACACTGGAGGACACCGACTGGGACTGAAAGTCACAATTATGTTGGACTTAAAACCACCCAGGGGGAGAAGCAGGAAAAAGGCTTTGAATGTTAGATATTAATCTTCTCCAAATGTCAGTATTTATTTATTACTTTTTTTAAATGTTAAATGCAACCAAGGAAACCCTGCAACCTTTTAGCCTTTTAAATACACAGCCGTCACAAGAGAAATAAACGAGGGCCGAATGTTTAAACATTTGTGTTAAACTGATAACTGAAAGCTGGAAATACTGTTATATATTAGATAGTAGCCTATCTAAAAAACATTTCTGTAAATATTAAAAGTATATTTTTGGGGAAATAGACGCAGACCTATTTGTTTAACTGTCAAGAGTTTGATAAGAAGATGGATATCACTACATTTAAAGCTATTGTAAGAGTCAAGAGCCAGTTAGCTTAGCTTAGCATTAAGACATGAGGACCTGCTCGCCAAATAACAATTTAAAAGCTTTACCTAAGGCTCAACTCAACAGCTAGCTTAGAGATGATATACCTCCCTTTCTTAAGCTTTCTAGTTGGCTGTCTCATTAAATTATCGATTTACAGTAAGCTAGATTTAGGAGTAACAATTTAAAAAGTAGTTTTTTACAATAAAAGTTACATTTGTATGGCATACTATTTTAGTATAAAGTAAAACAGATATCACAGAGTCAGATTATTGTTGTAACTCATTACCAAATACACTTTAACTTGCTGTATTTTGCATTTTTCAGTACAGCGCTGTTACCTTCTGCTTCTAGCGTTATGCTAGGCTAAGCTAACTGGCTGTAGCTTCATGTGTAGTGTTACTGATCTTCTCGTGTTACTCTTGACAAGAAAGCGAATAAGTATATTTCCCCAAACTATTCCTTTAAGAAACTTGAAAATGCCATGTATTATATATTATATGATATCTGAAAATGCTTTGTTTGTATATTACTACAGCTATATATAAATATATATAATTGCTTTTACTTGATAACTGAACTAGGAATGATCCTTTTTTTCTCTGAACTATGCACACCACTTCTCAAGCCATAAGAGCTGCTGCTGTTTTGCTTTAAGTGCAGCGCTCTCAGCCTCAGGAGATTCATGAGTCAGAGTATCTTCGTAGTGACCCGGCCTTTTCAGACGAGTCTCCGAGGAGGTCTGGACCCTCACTCGGCTCTCCTGAAGCAGAGCAGGAGCCCGCCGTGCCACCTGGAGATGTGCTAAGATGTACCATGCACGACTACTCATGCATTTTAAAGCCGGGGATGAATTATTAAGAGAGTGGATGAATCAATCTAAACCACGCTTGCGTTTTGATGTCTCACCCCTGTGCGTTCCTAGTTTTTTTTTTATAATCTTGCCTATCAAGAAATAAATGCCTGAAATCAAACAGAATGAGAATTTCATTTAGTCTCTTACGTGTGCGATGGGTTAGATTCGCTTCTGCGTTTTGAGCGAAATTGCCTTTGGAACAGCCAATTCCTGCAATTTGGGTTTAGCTAAAGGAATTATAGGTTTATTTTAGACCTTTTATTTTCTTGTCTCGTTCCTTTGTTGCTATGGTAACCTTCCACATCCCCCAAATTGCCCCTTCGTCTGGCTGATGGGTGGTCCTTTTTCTTTTCTCCAACAAAGCTGGTTCACATGCAGAGCTTTTATGTTGGGTTGTCTATATTTCTTTCTCTCTTTTTTTTTTTTGCTGGAGAATGTGAAGACCAGACGACAGCAAATTGATCCGGTCACAGATGGAGATGTGTGAGTCGAGTCTGAGTGTTTCAAGCCTCTGAGAGTCACGCTTCTGCCGGCCCTCCTGAAGTGTGGTTGTCCAAACAAAACATTTAGCACTGAGTCTTCCCTGTTTCCGTTTTCTCTCTACACCTACTTATTATTAAAGTCTCAAACGCAGTACGTGACTCATCTGCAAACCGAGTATCACAAAGAGGAAGTGCTACCTTCTTCTTTGCCACATCCTCTCCGTGCTTATCTTCCCTTTCGACCCTGTGACATGTTATTTTCTTTTCAAGCAGGGCTTTGAAATTGAGTGCAGTCAGACCCTTTGTGCTGATACACTTCACAGGAGGTGGTATTTTGTTAGATTGCAGCTTTCTCCACTTCTTATACGGCTGTTTTGACAGCTTGTGGAGTTGACATCAGTTAAGGAACTTACTTCAGCGATAGTCACCCAGTTCTGTCGAGTCGCTCTATAGAGTTCTAAAGGTAAGGTTATTTAAAAATACTTCTTGTTGATGACCTTGTTTGAAAGTTACTGTCAACCTCAGGAAAAGGAAGCACCACATATACAAAACACACAGGAAGAGAAGAGACTCTCACCACCGGTAGCTTCTCTCTTCTCCTGATCCAGGAAACAACACTTTGACACACTCCAGGTCACGTCTGTTTTGTCAGAGTGTGTTATGTGTTCACTTTCATTTGTCTTTGACTGTGTGATTCACAAATGTGAGGTAAAGCCCTGCAGATCTGGGGGGCATCTACAGTACTTGATCTGTTGAGCGTGTTGCTGAAAAAGACAAAAGGAAGTGAGGAAACTAACCATCTTCCTCTTTCAGGTTTGACGTGTTTTTGACCAGTTTTGTTATGTTTTAGAAAATTGTTAGCACCCTCAGACATGAAAAAAACAACTTTCAAATCCCAATTTTAGAAATCCATTGGGTACAAGACTGTTTTACTTATACCTGGAAAACAGAAAAGTAGAGGTACAATACAAGGCTTTCATGCAACAATAAGCTGCACTCAGCTTCTCCGCTGCTGGTCAGAGTAACTACCCTGCAGCTGTTTGAAATTCAGGACACTTACTGAGACGTTGTTGAAAGAGACTTTCTGCAAAACATGTTGATGGAAAAGGTGTTTCTTTATTCTTCTGTGGTTTATTTTTCAAGCTCTTTCTCTCAGCAGATTTTGCTGACAGGTGTTGAACATCTCACCCTGAGGAAAAGAGATGGAGGCTGACATCTTTGAGTATTACAAAGAGGAAGAAACTGTTGACATCAAGTCTTTTCAGGGTATGTGTGTATTCAGTAAACTGCTTCATATCAGGCAATGTTTATCAAGACTTGTGGAATACATTTAAAACATGTAAGATTCTCTTGATAAGATACTCACAACTACATGTGCATTGAACTACTTCTCAGTGGCTGTAGTAGTTCCTCCTGAAATAGGAAGGTTTGAGAGAATTTCATATTGAAAAAATACTTATTCTGAGTAACCCTCTGTTATCTGCAGACGTTATTGTTTAATAATTATAATACACATCACAATTTGTATCATCCTTTTTTGCCAAAGGTTTTTTTCAGGTTAGTATGTACTGTATGAGTAAAACGTTTCTTACAATAGTGTGAAGATGAAAAACAATAATGCACAATGTATGTTTGGTGTATGTTATTTCACAGCTCATGCAAGTTTCACGACTGCAGCTAATTGCTTTTCATACCGTATGGAAATGAAATGAAAAATGCATGTAGGGCATGCATTTAAAAGTGTAAAGTATATGTGTATATTGCATTTAAGGCGCAAACACATGGGATGTTGCCTTTCAATAAATAAAATATTTGACTTTCTAGGATGATAAAAGAGCTGTTATTTACCAAGTTTAAGCATTTAAATATATAAGGAAATGTCTCTTTGACCGATGGAGTTTGTTTGTATATTCACACAGAAGAGAAGCAGAAGCTCATTCAGCCAACGGCTTTAAAAGACCCCAAACTTGCAAAGCTAAAAGAGGTAAGAGATTATTCGACATCTTCTATTATACATTTACTGTAACATCAAAACTCAGCCTGGACATCACAGGGAGTTTGTCCTGAGTGGGCTGGAGATGAATGCTACTCAGAAAATACATTACAGAGCCTGCATGTATATTTGTGCAGAGAAGAGCATGAATAATATCTGCCTCGGGGAGAGAGGTGGAAGGATCAGTGAAATTTTAATGAACATAATTATCAGAGGTGATGGGAGACAGATGAGAGAGCCACAGCGAAGAGTCGGCACAGTCTGCTGGTTCTGACTTAAAGACAAGTGCTTCATGCAAGCAGCAGTGAATGAATAAATAATTAAATAAGCCTGACATGTTTCGTATGTAAAGATGGGAAAACAAACAAATCAAATATCAGCTATTTTGGAGGGGTATTTTGTATTTGTCATCATTTCCATCCACTTCAGGATCGTATTATCTCTGAAAATCGATTGACAGAATTAATACAAAAACAAGGTTTCATGCTGTTTTTCATTTGCACATTATAAATGTATGCAAGAAGTGTTTGATCTATCTGACTGTGTGATAAATTGTGTTTTGGTAGGCACTGGTAAATTGGATCAATAGCACTTTGAAACCAGAACACATAGTGGTTCAGAGTCTGGAGGAGGATCTGTACGATGGTCTGGTGCTTCACCACATGCTGTGTGAGTTAATGCTCATTGAATGGCTGTGCTGTCATATATCATTGCTTACTTTCATTTAATCATTACATTTGAAGATAGAAAAATAACAAATGATCCCCCTTGCTGTTCACCATAAAGCTTGTCATTTATAACAAAGTGCAGTCTTTATATGTCAGTCAAACTATAATAATAGTTAAAGCTGCAAGCAGCGATAAACGGGCCTTCGCAAGTCAACGCACGTTGGGGTACTTCAAGGATCCCTCCATGCGCAACACTGAATCACCATCGTAGGTTGATAATACAAAAATAAAATGTAATGGCAAAAGTTGAAGATTCAAAAAAAGATGTCCGACTTCCTGTTGGGTTTACGATATGCCTCCTAATTACTTTTTTGTGAGTCCCATAATGCTATATATTTCTACCAAAATTCAAACTTGTAGGTGAAAGCAGAATGAAATGCTGCTTGTTAGGGGGCGCTATAGAGCCATTTTGCGTGCGCCGATTATGAAACCCCCAAAATATCAAATTTCCGTCTTTTGAGCATGCTAAGGCCCTCAAAAAGGCAATTCATTTGGTAGAAAAAAAAGAGGATTTCAATAGGTCCGACTCAGTCGAGCTCAGGCCCTAATAATAATAATCTTCTAATCTCCACAGCCAGGCTGGCCGGGGTGGATGTGCCCGTGGAGGAGATGGCGCTGACCAGCCCTGCTCAGATACGCAAGCTGGGACTGGTCCTGGAGGAGCTGGACCAGAGACTGGGCCTGCAGGACGACAGCCGGATCAAGTGGAACGTCAAACGTGAGTCATGCAGCTGGGCTTCAGCAACGAAAGCAACAAATGTTCTGTTCTGGCAACAACTTTGAATTACAACAGGATTTGGTGCTGGCTCAAGGGTGCCATGTTGGCTTACACCAGCTGTGAGGGATTTTGGTGGAGATAAACACGATGGGGTTCTGTTTCTAGTCACCTGTCAGTGGATTATTTGTCTTTGTGCTTGGATAGGAAACCAAAGAATGGTCCCAACTTTAATTTTATTAGCAGCTGAACATTTAGCTAGGAGTTTCCTCCTGCTCTTCTTCTTCTTCTTTTTTCCCTTCTTATAGGAGGTTATGGCAATCAATGGATATTTACACATTTGATAACCGTAATAAAAATACATACAAGACGTTGACACTTCCTTGAGCAGCTGTAGAATGTATTACAGCAGCATAGGCAGAGTCAGGTGGAGTAGAATGAGCAACATTAGATCGGCTTTTAATCCCCAGCTCCTCTGTTGATGGACCCGATACTGAACCCCAAATTCGTCCCGAAGGCATAGACATTGTTTTGAGTGTGTGTGTTTCTGCATTAGATTAGATCGTGATGAGCAGTTCTGCACCTTGTATGTCAGCCCTTGTGTGTGTTAATGGGGGAATGCGTTGTAAAAAGGCTTTGAACGGTAGAAAGACAGAAGCGATCAACACTCCAGCAACACTTGTAGTATAAAGAACAACTTAACTGTGAGATCAACTTATGTTTGTTGGTCTCAAAATGTGAGTACAGTTGTTCCCCTTATAAAACAAATACAATGTCCCTATTGTATAAATACATACACTTGTTATACAGTATATGAAACATTAAGAGCATAAATGATAAAAAATAGGTTTGAAATTCATTTGTATTTTTAAGGATTGCATCTCAAGTTTCCAGTATTATTTTGTATTTCATTTGGGTGTTCATTTATTTATTAGATTCAAATCCTTTTGGCCTTTCTTTGTTGCTTTTCTGGGAGGTGATGATTTCTGTCACATCAGGAGCAAGCAAGTCATTGTGTGTGTGTGTTTGTTTGTTCTCTGCTGTTCGCCTGTCAGTCATCCACAACAAAGATCTTTTGGCCACTATTCATCTGCTGGTTGCCATGGTGAGATCGTTCCAGCCTGATCTGGATTTGCCTCCCAATGTGAATGTTGAAGTTATTGTTATGGAGGTGAGTTTCAGCCCTTTTTCCCTCCCTGCTTCAAATCTTAGTCTAAAACACACCTCGTGGGATTGATTTTCAATCATGTTCAATCCTTATGCAGGTGAGCAAAAGTGGAATCAAATCCGATGTACAGACGGAGGTCCTGACAGACGAGAGGTGAGCATATTTTTGTCCGGTGTGAATCTGTGGATGTCTGGAAAAACAGCTTATATATGTTTTTCTTTCTCAACAGGGAAGCAGAGCCAGAATCCCTTATGAAGAGTGGAAGTGGGTAAAAAAAAGTGTCGGAGGTTGAGCCGATTCGACCTTTTGAATGTCGTTGAAGCAGCATTAAAGCCCTCGATGACATTAACACATTTTTCTGGCTGTCTTTTCACCCAGAGGAAGATCCCATCGAGAAACTGCTGAAGCTTGAGGCTCACAAGGTCGACACGGTGAAGAAGGTACAATAATGAGGGGAGGAGTTAACTGTCTCTTCTCCTCTGGTAGGAAGAGAGCAATGGATGTGGTGTCGAGACATGATAAGTGACTCCTGAAAACAGATCAACTCAGAATAGAGTGCGTCTTTGGTGTTTTGTAGTAAGAACTCAAACCAAATAAAATGTCAAGAAGAGTTTGAACACAATTATTCTCATTATTGATTTGTTTTTATTTATTTATTTTAGCATTTAATATTTTTGATACATGAATATGTCATCTTAATGAGATCAACATGTATCTCAAACTGCCTTACCTATTTTTATTTTTATTTTACAGGCCATCTTATACTTTGTCAACCAGAACATGCAAACGTTGGGTCTGCAGGTGGCTGAAATGGACAAACAGGTAAAAAAAACAACAGCAAAAATCTGCAAAGACAACATTGTTTATGAGCAAAAATAAGAGACTGCTTCTCTGAGATTATATAACCCTCCTTGGATTATATCACCTTCCAATGTCTGGTGTATTTCCTGTGTAGTTTGCTGACGGTGTGATTCTGCTGCTGCTGATTGGACAGCTGGAAGGCTTCTTCGTCCCGCTCTGTGACTTCAATCTGACGCCTGTCAATCACTCTGAGATGGTACAGTATGAATCCAGGATGTAATACATATTCCCGACACTTTGTAAGGGAAATAATCCTCAGAAAAGCGGTATTGTAATCATTATTCTGCTCACAGATTAGTTGGTGATTGTTCTAGTTCAAAAGTACTACTGTTAGATCATATTCATCATTGTTTTATTTCTAATTTGAGTATAATTTACCACAGCAAATAGGAGGATGAGTTACATTTCTGAAGCCTGATCTCAAATCGGGCCTATTACAGAAGAATATATGATTAAATTAATATTTTACAATTCCCATATAAAAGTAGATCCATAATTACTTCTGTGTCACTTATAATGATATCTTTGATCTCACTTTACTTGAAGAGATAGGACGAGTCTATGAAAAAGTTATGACTCTTTTATCATAGATATGAAGTTTATGAATAACTCACGACAGAAGGAAAAAGAGACTCTGAAACTCCATTTGATAACTAAAAAGCTTCGGGTTATAAACACAATATTTCATATCCTGATTCATAATAAGTTAATATGTGCTAATTATATCTGTATGGTGACCACATTTCAATTTTACAACCAATATATTACATTTTACTATCATCAATATTTAAAACTCAACACATAAGACATATCTGATTCAAAACATAATATATATTATTCTGTGATGAACCATTCTTCATATTAAGTGAGTTCACTTTTTGTTAATTTGAGCTTTTTATTTTTTAACTTTTACAACATTTTGAATGCATGACTTGTACCAGTAAATAGAAGAAAGTATTTATACACTAAAGATTAATACTTAAAGATAAGAAAAAGATGCTTCTTTCCACCACTAAGTAGATTGTTGACTATACGTTTTACTACTTACAAATACTGTACTGTAACGCAACAATTATATATGACAACATAAGGAGATATCCTTCATATTGTCTTTAAAAGTTTATTTGAACACATTTGTTGGTGAATTTGACAACAAAAATGTTGTTTCCTGATTTTGTATTTGACAATTTCTCTTATCTCCGACCTCTAGGTTCACAATGTGACCTTGGCCTTGGATCTCCTTAATAATTTAGGCCTGAAAGTGTCCAGTGTTGATCCACAAGGTGAGGAAATAACACTTACAATGTATACACTCTGCCTTGTTGACAACAGACTTTACTCAAATTAAAATGCCAGACACAGAGCATGAAAAAAAACCCGAAGTGCCGGCGAGTGAAATGATTGCAACAGAAAAACAGCAGAGCTCCAAGACAAGCTACTAATTCAGATGATATCAAATATCAGGAGCATTTATCTGTGTGACAGGAAAACGCCGGAATCAGTTTGTATATTAAGCGAAGGGGAGGGGGTTGTTGTGCCGGTAGTTTGAGTTAATCTGCAGTGCTCGCTGGAGTGTGGGGTTGACAGTGTTTTGGAGGGAAAGATGGAGTTGCTTACGGAATATAAATGAGTGGGACTGGTGTCTCGATGAGTATCACTGCAGATGATTGGCTCAGTCCAGGGTCATCATCATTCATTTAGGGAAGAGAGGCGAGGGAATCTGTCTCCAGGGGACCATGGGGCCCAATGATAGACACAGAGATTTAAACTGTAACTTTGGCTGCATCTACTGTGTGTGTGTGTGTGTGTGTGTGTGTGTGTGTGTGTGTGTGTGTGTGTGTGTGTGTGTGTGTGTGTGTGTGTGTGTGTGTGTGTGTGTGTGTGTGTGTGTGTGTGTGTGTGTGTGTGTGTGTGTGTGTGTGTGGAAGATATGATATCTGTATTTATGAGCTGTGCTACTGTATCCAGTTATCAGCCAGATCCGAGGATTTATCTGTAAAAAGTCCTCATTAAAGTTTCTGTTTGTCAGTTCTAATTCGCAGCTGCCATGTTATCAGATTCTCTACCGTAAAGTCTGAAGTTTATGATTTGTGGCATAAACTTACAAGTGTTAGCAATCATGTTAATAATTACACAACTGTGAGAGCGTTACGTTGTGGGCAATTTGGGGAAATTCTGCTTTCTTCTGGGTTTAATAAGGTAAGCATATGGTTCTTGGCAGGCTGGTGTTCATATATCTGATTGAAAAAATACATATTTGAGCTAAAACTGTAAATAGGGTAAAGAATTTGGCACTTATTAAGTACATTTTCACTTTTAGTTTATTAAAAAATGAATAAATACATAAAATACAAAACGAGCAAACTGTCAAAAGTGTTTGGTCGTAGAATAGGGAGCAACCCGCTGAATCCGAAGCAGTGCTTTTAAAAAGAAATATCATAATCCTTCAATATCTTAACATATATAAAACCTGGTCTATACAGAGATGTTTTTCCCAGTTTGTTGTGGAAAAGCCAGCACAGAGCCCTGACGTCAACCAATCCTCGGGATGAACTGTAACCCCGACCTCACTAATGCTCCTGTCGCTGAATGGAAGCAAATCCCTGCTGCCAGGTTGCAATAAAATATATAAATTCAAAATAAAAGGCGTGTTATATATATATAGAAGACTGTTATTGCAACATGTTAAAGCCTGTGGTGTTGGAAAGAGATTGAGATCAACAATGACATATAGGTGTAATGTTTGGGCTTCCACTTTTGGTCATGTGGAGTAAATCAATACAAAAAGAAGAAGAGTGAAGTAGAGTGAGTGAGTCAGTGAGCTACCGACTTATCTAAGTGTGTGAATCAATCAATATCAAATGGATCTACTCCACTTCCCTGCTGATCCATTATTGACAAGACGCCCTCTGTGTTCTCTCCCAGCTTGAATCACAATCTCTAAAACTTCCCTACAATATTGCCTGCCAGCCATACAGCCTGTAATTGTAAAGTAAACCCCCCCAACATGATAACTGTTCATAAAAACTAGCACAATTAATCCAAGCCAGGAGCAAGGGGCTAATTTCATTCATTTTAAGTGTCTTTTTAATTACCGGCATAATTGCTGCGATGGAAAGAGGAACTAAGGGTCTAAAATGGGAGCGCGCTGCATGCATGAATTAGGTTATCCAATGGTGGAGTCCATCTTAATGTCACTTCCATTCAGTTAGTGCCTCTCACAACAGAGTGCAATTTTATTCCAAGGACGTATTGATGACATTTCCATCTAATGTGTTGCCCTCCTGATCTACGGCCTGTTTGGATGGAGTGTGGGATTAGTGATGAGCTAATGTTAGTAAAAGCATTTCACTGCCTCAATGACTTGGTGGGTGCTGATGGTGCATTATAAATACTCATTAAATGTTTCCTGACAGATATTGTGTCTCAGGACGTCACTGCCACCTTGAAGGTCCTGTACGCTCTGTTCAAGAAGCACAAAGGGAAATGAGAGACGAAGAGGAGATCAACAACCACGAAAAAGAAACAGAGTGGAAGTGTTGACCAGCTGGTGGTTTCTTCTGTCTTCTCTAAACTGTAAATACTGTATTTAAACAGGACATTTTGAAACATTCAAATGTTTTTATAGACATTTTCTAAGGCTTTCAAGCTGCTTTAAAATAACATAGGCTGGGGGTATGATATCATTTAATATATGGGTAACCATATACAATCTGTCTTTACTTGAAGAGACTCACAGTGGTGCGTTCTATGAAAGATGACGTACATTGTTGTGTGAAGGGTGAGAAAAGAGCTAGAAATGGAACTTGAATCCCTGCTTACAGTATTTTCTCACCTGCACACAGCTGACCAATCTCTGTGTGAAGTGGGTGTGAATAATCGATCATTGGTTTTGAAAAGAGTCAGAAATGGTTGGACACGGCTTCTCTAACCTGACGTCTGTAAAATGTGGAATGTGAAAAGCAGTGAAGGAGCATATCGGCCCCTTGAACTGTAACCTTCTTTATTCATATTTCAATTTGGTCTATTCTATCATATTGTACATGGTGTGGATGTTAGCCTTTGTTATTTCCTTTATTCAACCATCTCTTGCTCTCTTTACACCACTTCATTTCCATTTCAGTGTGACACTGCTGCAACACGGCTCTTTTCATTCTTGCTTTAGGAAACCATCGTCCTTGAGTGCCTCCTCTCAAATAAACAATGTGAATGTATTCCTCTGCTTCCTCTATGTGTTCCTGCTGACAGTCTGCGACCTCCTCTTTTTGTAGTCTGTGGAGGCTTTTGTCATTTCTGTCTCCATTTTTTTGTGTGCCAATGAATTGTTCACAACTCAATGTCACACAAATGTGGAGAGGGTGCGGCAGGCAGCCATCGAGTGAGGCTCGAAAATGAGAGCCAGACAATAGACGTGATTTCATCAAAGCATATTTTGCAAATTACGTGTTAAATAAAAAATAAAAAAGTGGACTAGAACTGGGAAAATCCACTTAATTCTCCTCTGTTGTCGCAAAGAGGGGTAATTTCTGTGTTTGAAATATATTTATGCAAACCGTTTGTGACTTGTTGAATAATAACGTGTCTCGCGCACTGACGATCTGGTTTAGTTTTCTACATTTATCTTGTGTATTAGCAAATTGCAGCGTGAACAATTGTTGTTGTCTTGAGGTTAAACAAACAACAAACAGTAACATCTGCCACTTTCACACTTTTTATTCAGTTCACCCCGTTTCCATGCAGATGTGTTGTTGACATTCAAGAAGCCAATCTATTTGTTTCCACCAAGGTGATGAATTCACATTTTATTTCCCCTGACATTTCAAAAGGTTTGCATAAAATTTGCTTCGCAGTCGGGTGGAAACAGATAGAAAGAGACATTGGAAGTGCGTGTTGCTCGTGGTAACCATGTAAATTGACCATTATAGTTGGTAGTATTATAAAATAAAAATGGCTTCTTTTCTGTTTACCAGTGAAAAAACCTTTTGGACTCCTACACCTGAGGGATTTTGTGCTACATGTGTATGTTGAAATGTAAATCGTATGTGTTAGGGAATAATTTGCTTAGGTATTCAACCTTCGACCCAGTTCATCGTTTTCTCTCTTTACTGTCTCTTTTCCCATGGCATAGTTCTACGGCCTTGGGTATTGCTGCTATCTCTCTTAAGGAGGGGCAGCTTGGGCGCATTGTTGTTGCCAGTCTATGACAGAGCACAAGCCGCCATGAGGTAGTTTATTGTTCAGGGACGTAGGTTCCCTGGCGCACATTATTTCCAATGGACGAGAGCTCTAGTTAGATTCAGGGTCCATAATTGTTTAGTCTCACTGATAAAGAATGTTGATTATTACACTCCGAACTAGTTAAAACTTCGAGCTGCAGAAGAGTTCTTCAGAATTGGTTTGGCAACCGCTGTGTCAACTCGTGACACACCACCTGTCTTGTCAATTCTCCGGCCGTAACTCCAAATAAACCACCAGTGTTTGCAATCAAAGCTCCAGCTCTCCTCGTGTCTCTCTGAGTCCTGTTTCCAATTGCTTCAGAAGTTTCCCCCACGGTATATAGCTTTATTAAAGGAAAAACCCATTGTAGTAGTTGATCAAACCATGTATGAACACGATTGAAATAAAAGTCTCTCTTTATCGGCATCTTAAGGCACCTTAAATACAAATTGGATGGTAATAACATATGTTTGCTGCCCATCTCTCACATTATATGATCCACAAAATCATGAGACGCTAATTCTTCCTGCTTCTGTATATCTCACTTCACCTCATCTGCCTCGTCGCGTATTCACATGAAGTAGTATGTGAATGTTGTGTACTCCAGGGTTTTGAGCTCAGGGACAGGCTGCTTTCTTATAATGTTTCAAAGCATAACATGTATATCATTGTTGCAATGAATGGTTAATCCTTGGTGAAAGTGTTCTTCATGAAAATAATTGAATGGGTTGTCTATGCAGAGACAAATAAGCGTACTAATAGAAAATAACATGGGTTGAACTATATTCATGAACATTTATAAAAGCCGTTTTGTTTATCTCGGTAGCAGGTAACAGTCTTGTTACATAAATACTTGTTAGCATCACCAATGATCTGCTTTTCTGATGAAAAATGATGTGCACTGTAAAGGGAGATTCTACAATTATACTTATCTTGCCTGTTTTGTTCAGAGTTACTTCTGTGAATATATGTGACTTTAAGCTTGCACCCTTAATCAATCAAGGGAAGGATGTGTGGCGCAGTGGACAGAGCCTTGGTGTTGGGATCAGGGGAGCACAGGTTCAAACCCCACTGCAGTCAGCATGTCGTTGTGTCCCTGGGCAAGACACTTCACCCCAAATTGCTCCTGTGGGGATTGTCCATAGTATTGAGTATGTAAGTCGCTTTGGATAAAAGCGTCTAACAAGTAACATGTAATGTAATGTGTAAATCCCCAGAACATTGAAACAAACTGAATCCCAATGTGTGAACAGTATATGCCAACATTTGTGTGGCTGTGACATGCATCTGGGATGATCTTTAGGACACACAACAGCGTGAGTGAGAGTCAAGGGAGATGAATGTCTTTTAGCCACTGTATACATATCAGCTCAAAGGTCACAGCTTAGCCTGTCACCAGTTTCTAATCCATCTGAACAAACAAGGATACATTTCAGGGAAACAATTGAGGGATTAAACCTGTTCTGCTCCAACGACAACACCTTCTTCTTCCTTCATTAGGACACCATTTTACCTCTGTATTTTCAACATTGTCAAGACAATTACTGGACAGAAATAAGTTATAATGCCAATTAAGCAAGGACTGAGTTACATAGAAACCATTAATATCTCTTTTGAGGATACTGTCAGTATATTTGATCATCAAGGGTGACCACATTTCTCTTAAACAGACTGCTTGTTCTGGAAAACAACAAATGATGTCCCTCTGCAAACCCACTGGAGTCCATCCAAAATGTTGACAGGAAACATGAGTAATGTCTGCCTAACTTGTCACACCGAACAGATGCATCTCTCTGTGGATGAAACGCGGAGCAGAGCTAACAAAGCAGCGTCACTCTGAGGATTCAGCTGCTGCATTATTTTGGTGTCCATAAATATGTGTGTGTACATTTCACAGCTGAAGTCACAGTAGGGGTAAATTCAAAGAAATGTACACTATTGTAGCAATGGAGGACTCATTTGACATGAACAAATAAGTGTAGAAATTGACTTGATAATGGTTAAAGTAGGGGAAACTATTGCGTCATTTCCACTGCAAGGTTCTGCTCGAGTTGACCTGACCTAACCCACCTTTGGTACCAGTTTTTTCTCTATTTTGCCTTCCTATGCAGATATTACCCTCAGACTCAGTGTAGACAGGATTCTTAGCTGACCATCATAGTGACGCTGTATGAAGCTCCAGTGACATACTCTCACATTTTTTAAAGATCTGGGTCGAGCAGATACAAAAATTGCGATTGCTATATTGACCCTTTTATGATCACCCCATACTTCTAGTATCGGTTCAGATCGCTTGGAGGAGGTACAAAAAACAGAACCAGGCGTTATCCACAACTTTTGCAAATGGAAAACCATAAAACAATAACAAGTTGAGTTGAGTTCATCCTGTGGCATACCGTATATCCTGCAGTTGAAATGCAGCATAAGCTAAATTAAGGTTAAATAACTTAAATGTCCTTCATGTGCACCACACAACAAAGCCTAAGTGAACTGAGTGAGGCATTTCATTCAAACTCAGCTATTGAGAGCTCAGCTTTTTGTTGAACTATCCTCGTTTCCAGAGATCGAACATCACCCTCCTGTATTGGTTTGGGTTCCCCATCATACTTGAGAAATGTATTATAACCACTTTTCAGAGCAAATACATATTATGCCTATTTCATTGCTTTCTGCTCATAGTGCATTGGCGTTAAAAAATAACAAGCATTTTGTGTGTGCTGCTTAACTGAAGAATCATTAAGGGGTTATGATTAAGTTTGAAATGCACTTATAGTGGAGCAGGAGGCAGAGGAGAAGGTGTGTTAAAACCGCAGGAGGGAAATCAGCATTTACTCATTTAAATAAATCTATGATAGGATATCTTGTGGTTTTTTACAGGTATTTACAAAATATATTATGCCCTTGTTGCAAGAAAGTGGTTATTTATAGATTGTATGTATTTTATTATGTTCTATGAGATATTTGAACATCTTTTAATGTAAACAAAGACCTTAATATTTTTAATGTAATAATATCCATAAACATGTAATTTATGTTACTTTTTGTAAATATCTTAATTGATTTTCTCATTTTTTTTACAAAAGCAAGTGATAAAGAGCATGTACACTTGGTTTCAATTCAAGTAACGATAAATACACATGCTGACAAATCAAAATCGCCATTTCCATCCCACCACTCTCCCACCCACCACCCATTAACCCATTGAGTTACAGTACTTTAACAGTAAATACAGTATTGTCCATTATTAAATTAATGCAAGGGGACAAAGAAATTCAATTTTAAAAGGTAGGGATGCACAGGTTACCTTTGGTTTTAAACCAAAAAGGGCACAGACTGGGTCAGGCTATTTTATGTTATCTTTTAAATGATAACAAAAAAAAACACCTGTTTCTGCCATTAAGATAACAGTACATGGTGACATTTGAATTCTGCCAAAAACCCATTATTTTTTCCCAAGAGTAAGCTTGTTATTTTGCTGAAAATAAATTATGCTGAATTTCCACACTTTCCTTTTTTGGTGCTATGACCCAAGAGGATATAAAAAAACTTTAAACTAAGTTCTGTTTACCCTTATTTTTTTCTGCTGTAAACTACTAATCCTCCTGGGAAAAACTTGTCCTCTGAATTTGACCCATCCTCATTAATTAAAGCGAGTCCAGGCTTTATCTGCTGATACCAAACACAGGCGTCTCTCTGTAAGTCCCTGATGGACGGAGAGTCACACAGATACAAAATTGGCACACAGAAAAGAATAAGCTAGCAAGGATTAAGATATCGCAATTTGCTTTCATTCTTTGCCTTAAAACTTTGAAATAGACACAGTTTTTACTTCATTGCCTACTTTTAAGATATCTAAATCACCTCTACACTTTGATCTACACTGCATAGCCAAATAAACAATACATGTTTGATACAAATATGTTATAAAAGTGTGAAATAAAAATCATATTTTTGAACACACTGCTTATTATTGTTACATTACATTTCCTTCTTCATCTTTTGGCATTTTAGTAATTGTCTTATCTAAGCACTTATGCTTTTGTCTGTTATTGTAAAGCACTTACTGATGTCTAAGAAAGTTGCCACAAAAGTAAATGCTCTGTTGCCTTTGTAAAAATGGGCAAAGACTTAGTGATGAAATGATGAAAGAAGATGTTAAATGGGGAAAATGGCATTGTGAAATGAAAACAGACGGAAAGAAGGCATTGTGAAATAAATGACATGCAATAAAACTCTTTTATTTTGCTGATAAGAAAGATGAGTTTAAACATGATCATTTGTT